GGAACTTCACTTGAGAAAAGTATAGTAGAAATAAGAGAAGCTGCTACATGGCATCTCCTAGGGGGAGGCAAGGAAGCTCCAGGAAGGAGCTGAGAACAAAGAGAGCAGAGGAGGGTAAATGTGTGACAAGCAGCCTCAACTGGATCTGCTGATTCCCCATAAGAGGCCTTACCCACCAATGTTATTGTTTATAAATATATGGTGGGAGGGAAGGCCGGTTCCACGAGGGGCAGTGGTCCTGCTGCAGGTCCCCAGAAGCCTCAGTGGATCCCCTTGGTAATCAGGAGATCACACAGGTGAGAGACAGACAGATACATCATGCAAAGAGAGAGTTTGAGTATAGAGTTTATTTAGTGGGTTATGGTGGGGAAAGGGAAGGGGAGAGGGAGAAAGAGGAAAGAGTAAAAGGAAAAAGGGGAGAGGGGGAGCAGTAGTTACCTCTTCATAAGAGGGATAGGAAGAGAGACAGCAGGCTGGAAAGGAGGCAGGGGAACCAGCTTCCCTTAGCAGAAGTGGGCGGAGCTTGTCTCTTAAAGGGACATGTTACCCAGGAGACAGGAAAGGCTGGCAAAATAACAACTGGGAAGAGTTGATGGAGGGTGGGTTTGTAGGGGAGGCAAGGAGAGTGGGATGCGTGGTGGGAGGGAGAACTGAGGTTGAAATGTAAATTGAAATTTTAAAAATACAGATACATTCATATATATGTATGTGTGTATGTGTGTGTGTCAATGTGTGTGAATTTCAATCCAGCGCATTCCCAAGTGGACTGAGAGATATTATCATATAAAAACGTCCCAAATCATAGAGCAAGGCCATCATTTTCTGTATGATAGAGGCCCCGTAGAGTGAGAGCAGCTCTCTGACGTACCACTGTGTCTTTCATAGTAGTTCAACAGAGATAAAGTAGGAAGCTCCAGGGTGGTATTTGAGAAGTAGAGGAGAAAGAAATAGAGCAGTTAGGAGAAACAGCTAAAGAGGTAGACTGGGAGAGGTTTTTGGGAAAAGGGAGAACTCCAGTAGAGGCAGAGGAGTGTTTGGGTGGAATCCTCACCCCAGCTGTAATAGAAAAATTAAAAATGCTGCAGGATCACCGACGGCAGTAGGCAGCAGAAATGCTGTAGGTCCCCAAGGGGTGGTAGCAGGCCATGTGGCGGCAGGCAGTGGGCCCTGGGAGCAGCCAGTACCCGGTAGAGATGGCAGCTGGTCCCCAAGCGGTGGCTGGTCCCCGGCAGTGAGACACATGGCAGGCGAACAAGAGACAGAGACGTGAGAACAAGAGAGAGTCCATGACGTGCGGAGTGAGATTGGATATTTATTCAGGGGGTTATGGAGTGGGAAGAGAGAGGAGAGAAGACCTGAGAAAGAGAGAGAGGTGAGAGAAAAGAAAAAAGAGAGAGACAGAAGCAGGGAAAGGGGAGCAGTGGGGAGAGAGGCTGAAGCTGCCTCTCTGAAAGAAAAACGAGAAATAGAGTGAGCTCAGGCAGGAAGCTGAAGATCAACCTGCCTCAGTGGATGGGGGAGGGAGTGGGCGCGGCTTGTCTCTTAAAGAGACACAACAATCATTACACCATCCCCTGGCATCCATATACCCTAAGAGTCTGGAATGTTTGGGTGTAAGTTCCATCCCAAGCCCCCTCCCCTAGAGTTGCCTCAGTTCAGACTCCACCTCTGAGAAAGCCTGCCAAACAATGACCCCACAGCAGAGTTGCTCAAGACCACTCCCAGTATTTAAACTGCCCCCAAGAGAAGGAACAGGTGGTTTTCTTGGTCTTCCTTCCCTGGCTCCTCTGAGGGAGGAGCAGGGGAACGGGACAGGACACAGACGACTGGAAGGACAGCTGGGAGTCTTGGTATCCATTAAACCTGGGCTTTTTCTAATTCAGTTTGATTTGGTCTGATTTGAATTATTGCATCAGTAGAGAATTTTTATCAGGGTACAGAAACTTTTCAAGTTAATGGAGAGATGTCCAGGTTACGGGTGCCCAGGAAAGTGTAGTAGGCTCCAGGAGCCAGAGAGGCGGAGAACACACCAAGTCGTTGAGAAAAGACAAAATGGCTAGAGCAAGTGGAGGGGAGAAGTAGCTGAGGAGATGGACTCTAGAATTTGGAGTCAAATATTGTGGGTGACAGAAGCCAGCAGAAACAAATGTCCTTAGAAGTGCCAAATCAGAAGCTTGGTTCAGTTAGGAGAGGCAGAGCCTCTTGGGAGAGGGCACATATATGCCCCTTCTGGGCTTAGTCACCAGATGAATTAAATGAGGACATAAACACTACAAGGTATGGTTGAAAACATTTTTATTGTGGATATAAGGGAAAGCACAGTCAGAAGCATCTGGCAAAGTCCAGAGCAGGGAAAGTGATAGACAGAACAAGGCCAGCAAACTGAAGCAGGACAAGGAATGGGGGTGTGGGCAAAGGAAACTCAAAGAGAGGACAACAGTGAGGGGGCCATGGGAGCAGGCAGAGAGAGAGAGAGAGAGAGAGAGAGAGAGAGAGAGAGAGAGAGAGAGGCGAAAATAGGGTTAGAGAGGGAAGCATGTGAGCAGGAGAATTTTAGGGTAGGGGGCAGGGTAAGAAGAGCTGAGAACCACTGGTACTGAGAGAGTCTGGAGGCTAGTATGTGCTTTGGTATGCTAATTGGCACCACAAATAGCCTTTTGTCCCTTGTAGTGGTGAGGAAATGGCTCCTTTGGTAAACAGGTGCCAGAATATGGGGTAGTGGAGTTTCTTTTGAACCTGACAGTGTGACGATTAAGAATGTCCTTTTTCAAGAAGTGTGCTGTGGACAGCCATATCTTTGTCTGCTGTTTACTAGACTTAAGACTATTTTCCTGGAGTCCGCTGCAGGATAAACTGTATCTTCATCACCAAATAGGCAGTGATCTTGGCCAAATTACTTGCTTTCCTAATTCATTCCACAAACATGACCTGACTCCTGGCTGCCGGGGGCAGAGACACGAGTTTGCAAAGGTTGGGTGTGGTGGGATCTGATCCTAAACTGTTATGTTTGTTTCAGAAAGACGGACTCCAAATTGTTTTAGTCAACGGTAAATTCTGAATAAACACAATTATTTGGGTTTGTCCCTTTCCTTACAAAATATTGGTAAACTCTCAATAAAGGTGAGTTATTCTACTAAGGTTTGCTGTCTAAAGGCAGCTTTCGAGTGGAACGGGTCCAGATTCTCTCCGAGATCACTAACACCCATTCTCGGAGGAGCCGGGGCATTTCTAGGGACACACAAGCTGCTCACCTAAACTCATTTGCTGAGCTGCTGTTAACCCCACCAAGCAAGAGTAAGACCACTACCTCGACAAGTCTGTAAGTGACTTCTCAGCCACAATCAAAGTAAGGTCGCCCTACTGCCGCCTGGCCGAGAATGGAGATGGGGAGTAAGAGCCAGTCCTGAAGAGACCCATGTGACTCAGGCATGGCCTACGCCCTTCAGGTTTCCGCCACGCCTCACAGCCCCCGCAGAGCGCTGCCGGCCCAGATAACAATGGCGCTCCTGAGGGCGTGGCCGGTAGAGGAAGGCTGAGCTGGGATCTGAGGAGGCCCGGCCGGGACTGCGGGCGAGGCCACGTGATGCAAGCCCTGCCCCTTCCGTCCGGACGCTCCGACCCGAGGAAGTCAAAAGATGTCTGCTCCGCTAACGGCGGCCTTGCGCCGGACCCCGGAGCCTTCAGCCAACGAGCAGAGGGCGGAGGCGAGGTCGGGCTTGCGAGGTCACGTGGCACCGGCACCGCCCCTTGGAGGCCTTCGCGGGGCCTCTGGTAAGGGGCGACAGCGGAAGTGACCACACGGCGTACTTTGCTGCGTGCGGCTACGTGGCGGAGCCGGCGGAAGTGGTTTCTTCGCTGGACCCGAGTGTTTGTGTTTTGGTTCGGGAAGGAGCTGGGCGGCGAGGGGAGGAGACAGAGGGAGGAGGAGGAAGAAGTCGTCGGAACTCGAGCGCGGCGACGGCGGAGGAGGAGGACCGACGGAGGCGGAGCGGAGAGGCGGAGACGCTGCCCGGCAAGGGCGACACGGGGCGCCCACCCCGCGCCGGCCAGCGTGAGAAGCAGCG